TTCCTGTGTATTTGGCAGTCATGGTTTTTTACTGAAAGGAACTTTACTTTTGTTCTCATTATATTACCTACATCAATTTTTCTACCATTCAGTGAAAATAATAGTGAATCTGGCTCTCACTAGCTATGGGAAGAAAAGTGAGTGAGACAAAGCAGTGTGATCCAAGGGTAACAATCTGCCTACTGGTAACATGTTCATTTGATGGAAGATAACTAAATATCAAAATTTGCAGATCTCTTTTACAGACAAGTTATGACATTATTTTTGCAGAATACAAAAATTATAGCTTCTGTGTATGTGAGAATAGCATACTTTGTTACAATGTTTCATATGGTTTTACAGAAAAAGCCTTTGATGATAAAGGATGGATAATTGTTTTATTAAAAGGAAGACAAAATCTGAATAATCAATTCCCTTGCCTAAGATGGCTGTTGTGCAGCAAATGAAAACTTCAGATACACATAAAAATTAGTTGAGTTTAATTCATTGTGTTGTTATTTTACTTATAAAAACAAAAGCATATAAGCAAAAGAGTCAGAGAAAAAAGAAAAAGCACTGTCTAGTTTTGAAAAGTCTACATTTATGTTAGGATAATTGCATTTACTAAATGATCTTAGACCAACCCACTAAATTGTCTATAACTCTTCTCAATTTTTCATTAGTTAAATCATGTGTATCATGGATTTTCTGCCAAGATCTTGACAGAAAGTTAGAACTAACTCTAAAACACATTCAGTTTTGTTTTAATTTTAGTGTAAACAATTGATATTATTTTAATCTCCTCACCTTAGTCCACTGATACTTCCAAAGTCACTGGAGACACTTTTTGTCATCAATTTTTGGATAAATGTATTTAACAAGAATTATCAAAATGATTATGGAACCACTCATTGAATGGTTTCTGTATAGATATGGCCAGAGGTAAAAAAAATAACAATTTCACTAGGATTTTGATTTTTACTGACAAAAAATTCAAAATATACACGTAATTATTTGAACTATCAATATACCCTGAACCCACAAAACTGCATAATCATTGGATAATGGAACCCAATAGGCAATAGTATAAATGTATGTCTAACAAATTAATATTGAACTGTACTATTATCATCTTCTCCAAACTGAAGGTCTTATTAAAATTTAAGTAACTTTGAAAATTCAACTCTATTCAATACAAGTGGTGTGTTTTAGATTTAGTCATGAATTACCATGAATACCTGGCCAAAATGACCTGAAAAAGACTATAATTACCATAGAGTCTCAGATATCAGCACTACAAAAGATAGTTAACATCACATAAATTTTATTGACTGCATTCCCAGTTGTCACTGTTAGAATTTTCTCTTCAAATTTCTTGTTCATTACTTTTGTCCTCCTATTGTCCCCTATTCTTTCCTTCCCTCCCTCCCTTTATTTTGTTAATTTAAATTTTTCTTTCCTTCATTGTCTCCTAACTTTCCTATTAATGGTCACCTTGGATAATAAGCTGTAGGGAAAATAATCTATATATACCTTCTTTTTCATTTAAAGTCATATAAGAAAGAGATTATTACTTATTTTTGTTTGAAGAATTTTGATTGTAAGCAATTTTACTTAAATATATATTTAAAAGGGAATATCACTTATCAATCAGATTTTTAGGATACTAAAATACACATTAATACCTCTATATATTATTATATTATTATATACTATATTATTATATTTGAACTTTTAGGAAGTAAATTTTGAGATCCATTCAAATTACACATATAAAGGCTTAATTTGTATATAATGACTCTCCATTCCTCTGAAGGGTAATAGTCTATTTCCTAGTCTGAATTTTATCAGTATAGTTGCTTAATTTTTTTCAAATGGTCACTTATTCATTTTTTAAATAAAGCTGTAATTTTCACTTTCATCTTCATTTGCTTAACATAATTCACTTAGTAAAATTTTTGTACTTCAAAACTCTAGCTTCTCTTCATTTCTAAAGATAAGGATTTAATTAATTAAAAATGTATGATAAGAAGAACAAAAGCTTTGTATAAAATATATAATTTTAAAGTTCAAAGTCTAAAGCTACTAAAAGCTAGCTCATTCAAATATTATATCCTTGTAGGGTTTATGATTCTAACACATGACTTCATTGGATGATTAAATTATTATCTAAATCTTATAATTCAATCCTAACTTCTCCCTGGGCCATAATATAACTTTTCTCATCACTGTTCCTAACTTCTGATGCCTTGCAGTTACAAATCATAACATACTTCCAAATTGCAATATGTTAAAAAATGGAACCTCCTTACCACATACCATTCCATTATCCACCAATCAATCTACACTTACCAAAAATAAATCACTGAATTAAATGGTACAACAAATTTGTAGGTGGGTTAAGGCTTATAAGTTATTTTTCTTTTGGGTCAGGATATATCATAGTTAAGGTAGTTAATCATTTGCTATGTCATAAGAACCATCTCTCAATAAACTGTTATTTGTTCTGTCCTCTATCCTGTTCTATATATTCTTATCTCAGGTCAGTGGACATTGACTATTTATTGGTTGCTGAACATCTTTGTTTTATCTATTGTCAGTCAATAGATTCCAATTTCGTTGAAGAAAAATACCTCTGGCTAAATATGAGGGCATTTGAACTTTAAAGGTTCTCGGCTATTCTCTGGTTAGGTGACTGGTGTGGCTCAAAGAACTCAGTTGGAGGTTCCACAGAGTCACAAAGAATGAAAAAACTAATGTAGTATAAAGAGACTTAAGTAGTTCCTGGTAGCCATGTGTCCAGGCATGTTTCTGTTGTTTTCTTTTTCTAATCATTCTTCCCCTACCTTTATGCTTATGCTTACATTTATGTTGTTTCCTTTAATAAAATAATGATTTCTGTGCCTTGCATCCAAAGAACCTTGACAGACAGATAACCAAACTATATTTCTTGATATCATTACCCTGCAAAAAAAGCCCTTAAGGATAGTCATCACATTCCTAGGTCTGCAAAAAAGTCTGCTTGGTATGGGACCCCCATTGCTTAGCCTGTTCAGCATTATCACTTTTTCAACAAAACCTGAACTTCCGTGCCATCAAATCCTAATTTCTGCAACAAGTTGCTTTCATTTATCTCTTGTGTAAACAATAATTTGTTCCTTTTGTTTGTGCTGTCCCCATTTCCTCTAAATGATTAATTCTAATATCTTGTCCAATGTTTTGCTTAACTTCTTTAAGAAGTTATTCTTAATTGTGTTATCGTCCATGGTTCTATTTTCACTCGAGTAAGTCCTGAGATTATCACCCAAACAAACTCAGGGGAGTAGAAAACTATATTTAACAGTCAGGATTCTGGAACTACACTCCTCAAGTTTAAATCCCATCATGGCCTCTTCCTTGATCTTGAGCACAATTATTTAACTGTGCATTTCTATTAATTTTCTGGAATTATTGTAAACGTTAAATACTATATAAATCATATTATGCCATATTATGTGTGATCAGTGACTGGCATATTATGAGTGATAAATATGTTGTAGCTATTATTCTAAACTATATCTATGTTGGTTAAAATAAAATCAGTGCCCATAGGCTCATAGGTTTGAATGCTTGGGTCCCAGTTGGTAGACTATTAGGATGTGTGTCCTTGCTGGAGTAGGTGTGGCTTTGTTGGAATTGTGTCATTAAGCATAGGATTTCAGGATTTCAGGCCAGTCTCCTCTCTCTCTCTCTCTCTCTCTCTCTCTCTCTCTCTCTCTCTCTCTCTCTCTCTCTGTGCCTACTGCCTGTGGATCAGGGATCAGGATATGAAGCTCTCAGCTACTGCTTCATTACCCTGTCTGCTTGCTTCCCATAAAGATGATAATTAACTCTCTCAAACTGTAAGCAAGCCTCCCAATTAAATTCTTCTGTAACAGTTGACTGGGCCATGGTGTCTCTTCTCTGCAATAGAAAAGTAACTAAGACAATACTACAGTGTATTTTTTTCATTCCAACATTTTAAATGTGTGGTTTCCTATATATTATGAGCACTTGTGGTAGGAGGTCAATAAAAGTGGTCTATACAATAGAGGCTAGCCTTTAACTGAAAATTTCCCTGTGATCCCTAACCCCCACACCAGCTTCAAGGTAGTTTAAATGCTACTTGTTTTTAATCATCAAATTCAATTTATTACTACTGAATTGCTGAAGTTGCCTTAGCTCTGAGTTGTTTCCTACTTGACTTTCAAAAGAAAGAAGATTCTGTAACTTTCAAACACATTCAGTATATTTTATTGTTTCTTTAGAAATTCTTCAGTAGTTTTACAAGTGAAATGAATATCGTGTATAAAGTTTTCAAAATTGTATTTCTTACCCATGCAGGAAAAAAAAAAAACCTCATAGCAAGCATAGTTGTAGCATCCAGTGAAACTGTTTATAGCAATGCATTCTTGTGTTTCTAACTGACTGGATAACTTCACCAAATGGATTTCAATGAGGGTGAGAAATGAGATCTTGCATTATTAAAATGTATTTATTTGTATATGGTGAGGCATAAAACCTAATATTGAGAGCAGGGTATTTAAAATGCGTTGCATTTTTTATTTGTCTTATTTATTTCTAACTCAATTGAGGTAGAATACTAGTGCAGACAATTCAGAGGAGTGGAAATAAACAAGTCCCAGCTTATTTTCTTTGCCTTAGTAATATGTTATGACTGCATAGTGGCAAAACATACAGTTTAAATGTAATCAGCTCAATTGAGCTAACTATTTTATATTAAACACATTTCAAAAACACTTGTTTACTGAATTTAAGTGAGCCATCTATACTTGTAAGGTTTATGTGTTTTGCCTCTCCCCACACCCATATTAAATTATGGTTACTTTGGATAATTAATTCATGTCTTTGATCATATTTAGGTTAAACAGATTAGAGTGAGTTTGTTAACAAAAAATAAACTAGAGAGGAAAGTGGCAAGTGAAAATGTGCACTTTAAAAAACATCTCTGACAGATTTTCTACTTTTGGTTTTGTCCATACCTTTTGTTTGATGATCATCTCATTGATGTCTTCCAGATCACCCACCATCACCCTCTGTGATTTTATAACTCGATCAAGCAGACAAAGCCAGTCTGTAAGTTCTGTCCAAGCTCGGTTGAAGTCTGCCAGAGCAGGTACCTCCAACAGCAAAGAAGATGGCATTTCCAGTTTGGAGATGGCAGTTTCCTTGGTAACCACAGGCTGTGTCACTAGAGTAACAGTCTGCCTAGAAGCTAATTGTTTTTAAAAGAAGGAAGAAAAGAAGAGATAACACATGAGAAACAAACAAAAACGCCAATTTCAGTAACAATAAAGGAACATTAGTTGATAGCCAACAGTTTGAATTAACATTTCTGGTAATGTATCTATCAATGTGGCTACTTTATAGGGTATGTATCATAGATCATTCAAAAAATTAATAATATTTAAAGATATTTATCTTATTTTATTACCTTAACAATTTAAATATTTTTTCAGTAAGAATCATACAGGTTATAAAGATTATAAAAAAAGCTATTGGGACATTTCCAGGTAAGATTTATTTATTTATTGTCCATTCAAAGAAGAAAAGGAAAAGCTAAAGATTGTATAAGGTCATGTTTCTTAATTTTGATTTTCTTGAATAATAAAAGTACTTAGTAGGGAGAAACTGTCTCTTACAGTGGGAACACTTCACATTTTATCTTCTGGTTTTAGCAATAAGGTAGATTATAGTGAAGAAAAAAACAAGGTATATTATTTTTGAAAAAAGAGAGGTAGTGAAGTTTTTCTGTTCAATATGAAACACTATTTCAAGGTCGTTAAAATCCTAAATTAAATTTAATTGTGTTGAATACTTTAATGGATAAGACGTGAAGTCTTCGGGAGAGACACATGGGTGAGAATCCTGCTGTCTGCCTTAGGAAATCTGAGACCTTGCTTAATTTATTCAACCTCTCTAATCTTCAGTTTTTCTCCTCAATAAGGGAAGAAAAATAACAGGGTAAATGTTTCAGGGGAGGTTGTGTGGACTCAGTGACAATACAAACCAATGTATATACAGCAATGTCATACAACATTATTATTTTTATCATCATCATCATCATCATCATCATCATTTTCATCCTCCTCTTCCTCTTCACAATATTAGCAAGGTGGAAATAAGCTAGCCATTAATGTAAAATATTATTGTTTTAAATTCCTGGTTTATTACAAAATACTTTTTAAAATATGTTGACAAGTGAGAGATGAAAACTAAAAACAGAAAATTGGGGAAAACTTGGTTTGCAGTCTGTGTGCTACCCTCTATTGACTAAATGATGCTAAGATGAATTTGCTGGTGTGAAATGATGCCAGGTAACAATATACAGAGGGGTGATCAGAAGCCAGGGACAAAAAGAAGCAACAGTTAATCTGTTTTATAGACAAAGTTGACAGCAGCATCATAACCAGGAGGGCAGCAGCAATTAAATACTGGACTACGTGGTTCAGAAGGGAAGTTCAGAAAAATCTGGAAATGGCAACTTGGTAGAAGATCTCATAGGTGTGGACAAGGGAACTATTCAAATAACATAAAAAATAAGATGCGCACATTTATACTCTGAGGTGACAATGCATTCATTTTAGTGGCCGTATTATTGTTCATACTTTTAGGTGGTCTCCTCATTAAGGAGACGGGAGAGGTGAAAGAATGCTTCTTTTTCTAATGTCTCGGAGCACCCAGCATTTCACACAGATAGAAGAGTAAGGCGCAATGAAAAGTATTGGAGATGTCAGAATTGAAACATAATACATAAAAATAGTAAATAAGAAAGAAACATGGAGGAAATGAAGAGATATTGTTTTTCAAAGTCATCTCACTACTATGAGGGTATTTCTGAAAAGAAAGAAGTCCAATTTGAAGTCCATATCATCTTGTGGTCTATAGTACAGAGTTGCTGATACACTTACACACTCCTCCCCTACTGTAACTTAGGTCTAGAAATTATAAAGGAAATCCCAGCCAAGGAGCTGGATCTTTGGAAATGATGTATGGGTATGGCTGAAAAGAGACAGGGATTAAAATATAACTGTACAAGTTTACTGTAGTTCATTAGGGAGGCTGGAAGACATGCTCCAAAAATAAATACATACTGAATTCTAAGCATCATAGAACATATTGAGAAGATTTCAAAGTTTCTCTCTAACAATTCTTCCTTTAAGTTTCATACTGTTTGAAAATTTCATACATGGATATAATATGTTTTAATTAATACCACCATCTCCCATTTTCTCTACTCAAACTCCTCCTCTACCTTCAATCACCTTTCCTTCCCAATATTAAGCATTTATAAAACAGAGTAACAGAGTTCATTTGTAAGATATATATATATATATATACCCTATTACTTTATATCATTTGAGCCAGATGTCATATTTCTCTTAATCTCACTCCCCTGTTTTGTTCTGTTCTCTATTTTCACATATTTATGTTTTTAAAGATTACACATATAAATCTCACCATTCAATATTTTTCTGCATATGGTTTATTTCACTTAGTATAATGTCCTTGAGTCTCATCTTGATTGTGGGCAATGACAGTCCCTTTATGGATATTCTAAATAAAACACACTTATCAAACTTAAATGCTAATATCCACATGAAATGTTAGACTTTGTGGGTCTGGGTTACCACACTCAAGATGATTTTTTTCTAGCTCCATCCACTTACCAACAAATTTCACTTTTCTTTTAACAGTTGAATAACATTCCATTATGTAAATGCACTATATTTTCAGTAACCATTCATTTGTTGATGGACATCTAAGCTGCTTCCAATTCCTGGCTTTTATGAACACAGATGAGAAAGTATCTCTGTAGAAAGATGTGCTGTCCTTTTGGCATATGCCCAAGAGTAGTATAGCTGGATCTTGTGGTAAAACAGCTTATAATCTTTGAAAAAAGAAAATGCTACACCTATTACACCTATTCCTATAGTGGCTGTACCACTTTACAATTCAACTAGCAATGAATAAGTTGCTCTCTCATCCTCATTGAAGAAGCTTCATCTTTCAGGAGATGTTAATTAAGATACAGACCCATAACTGGACACTGTGTAGAAAATAATTAAGGTATTTAGGAGTACTCAGTCACAAATGGAATATTTTTAATCACACCTCTTCCTTCAAGGGTCAAGGATCTATGTGGAAAAGGAGGCACAAAGATTTTAAGAGTCAGGGATGGTAGATGAATTCAAGGAAACAGCATTTTCCAAACAGTAGAGGAGATGCCCATATGAACTCACAGAGACTGTGATACCATCCTAAGAACTGCAAATGCTCAAGCAAGACAAAAAACCCATCACAGAGACAGGGAAATGGGTACAAAGGCCCACCGCTAACTAAGAAGCTATTTGCAGCTGACACCAGCTGGAAGAAAGAAAATCTGTTTTCTTCAATGAAGTGACACTAGATATATAAACCACATTCCATGGTGGGCCTTATAATGAGAAGTAGTATAACATGAAATAGATTCCATGTTCTTTTGTGTATGATTTTTTTTTCTGATTTATTTTTTAAAGAGAGAATAATAACAAAATTTTCTGATTAGGGAGAGGTGAATGACCAGAGAGGAGGTACAGCAGAGGAAAATATGATTAAAATGTATTGTATGAAATTCTCAAAATGAAAACATACTAAAAAGAAAATGACAGCACATTATTCATTTTTAGGGATTAATAATATATCATTGTATACCACCATGATATTTTCTTTTATCAATTTTCCATAAATTGATAATAGTTTTGTTTCATTATTTGGCTATTCTTAATAGTAATGTACTGAACATAGGACTGCATATGTTTCTGTGACATAGTAACTTAAGTTTCCATTCAAAAACTTGTTTTTGAATCAAGTTATTCTGTTTTTAACTTTGTCTATGCACAGGTATTTGTTATTCTAAGGGTGTTTTCTGTTAGGCCCACATCGTGAATGATAGAGACTTTCTTGAGAGTACTTGAATACATAATGTCAATTAGATAATGAGTTAGGATACATTAATTACCACACAAAATCCTAATAGTACATTTTGGATAATCCTTGTTCTTCTTAAAGAGAATGGCATCTCCCCAGCCAGTATGAAACATTTTCTCTATGCCTTATTTAATAACCTAAACAAGTGCTTCTCAACCTAGGAGTCACAACCCATTTGGGGCTTGAATGATCCTTTCACAGGGGTCACCTAAGACTATCAGAATATATATTTACATTGTGATTCATAACATTAGCAAAATTAAAGTTATGAAGTAGCAACAAAATAATTTTATGGGAGTTCACTACAAAATGAGGAACTGTATTAAAGGTTTGTAGCATTAGAGAGGTTGAGAACCACTGGTCTATAAAGATATGTTGAAATCTTTCCTGTTCTACCACAGTATCCAAAAACAGAATTACAATGAATTCTATCAACTTACAGAGATATAAACATTATGTATACATATAAGTGTATGTATATGCAAAAAATTATGCACATAAATAACCAGACTCCTAATGATTCTAGCACACTTATGCATTGCATTAGAAAAGGAAAATTATTCTACCAAAACCTTTGGATTTCCTTTCATAGTTAAACAAAATGACAAGTTTCAAAGAGCTAAAATGGATTGACTTTGGCACAACAAAAAAATAACAGTAGGTGTAATATACTATTGCAAACCACAGCTTTGCTCTGAATACTTTGTTAATTAAAAGGTGTTGGCTTTAAGAAGGAACTCTTATTTTTTCCAAACTGTTTGAAGAACATTTCTCTAATCTAAAATTTTAATTGGTTTTAGGTATACATGATAGGCATACTATCAGCTTTGCATAGAGCTATAAAGGGTCCACTAAATCTTTCAAACACACACACACACACACACACACACACACACACTAGAATAATTCCTTTGAAGTGTTCACACACAATTTTCCCACAATTCACAGGTCTCCTTTGGTTGATGAAAATACAAAAAGAGCACAGTCTATTTAGAACTTTGTTATATGAACATGTTTCTTTCCTTCCATTTTATGTTTAAAAATCAGGAAACTTAGTGATAGGTGACTGAATACATACTAGCATACTAGTTGCTATGTGAAGTATATGTATAAAGTGCTATTATATACTGCTTTGATTTCACCATTGCATGGCTATGGAAGGTGGAATTGATATGCATGGTCAAAATGCTTTGGTGACTTGGTAGGTGGCTCAGTGGCTAAGGATACTTGCTACCAACC